AAAACGCGAAAATTCGCGATTAACCACCGCAAATGTAGCCAAAAAGAAGGCAAGAAAAAAGAAACTTTGGTGTCTTTTTTTTCAGAGCGAAAGAGAAAAAGATGGAAAAAAGGTCGAAGAAGAAAAAAGAGTGTCGTTTGAAGTAGCAGCAGAGGATTTGTTTCGTTCCCCTAATATATTTGGTTGGTCGCTACTATTGTTTGCTATTTTGTTGTCGTCGTTGTTGTGGATGATGATGAAATTGACGATGGCGATGATTTGCTTTTGAAGGTGGTGGTGTTAGGTAATGCAGATAATGCCGATGGTCACCATTTTACCATTCTTTATCGTAGTTTACTGATTTATTGATATTATTGTAATTATTATAATTATTACTATTATCGTTATTGTTATTATTAATATTATTACTATTAATAGTGGTGGTATTGTTCGAACTGTTACAAATTTTATTTCTTCCTTTATATTCATCAGAAGCTGTTGTGTGCTTGCGTGTTTGTTTTATATGTTAATTTACTTTTTACGAACATATATATGAAATTCTAAAAAAGAGAAAAATGGAAGGAAAGGAAAAAATTTAATTTGTATTTTTCATATCATTTTATTTTATTTTATTTTTTTTTTCGTTTATGCGGAACTGTTACATAGCTGTTTGCTTGACTTCTTTTCTTCTTTTTTCTTTTGCTATTATTTTTCTTATCTGTTTCAGTGACTTACTTTTTTTTTTATATTTTTTAATATCTGTTGAAAAAATTGTGTAAATTGAAAAAACTCAATTCATTTATCTTTTTACCTTTTTTAACACTGTTCGTAGTATTCCTGTAAATGCACGCTATAACTGTTCTCAGATCGATATTTCTTTTGTTAATTTGTTTGGTTTTTTTCTTTGGGATTTTTGAAGCTGTTAAAATTATTATACCGGGTTGTCAAAGAGAAGTTTTGTTTTTTTATTTTTTGACTTCACTATGTTATTTTGTTAAAAATACCGGTTGTTGAAGTCTTCTGAACAAGAAAGTTTTTGTTGTTAGTTTTTTTCCCTTCTACGGATCTTTGGCTACATTATGCGTTGCATGGTATATTTACAGTTGAATGGATTTGTCTTTTTTTTTCTCTTCAGTCTTCTAATAATTTACCTCATATGATCTACATAAAGTCAACGCTGCTTAAGCGTAATGACCGAAGTTGAAAACTAGCATTGACTGTCTTAGCATCTTGTAATTTTCTGACTAATAATTAGTGATTTATTATTTGAGCAATTTTTTGTTGTATTTCTTTTTTTTTTATCCTGCGTCGATATGTCCCAGATGAAATGTCTAGAAATGTGCTTTGTTGTAAAAAATACTCTGCTGTTTTGAGGTTCTTACCCCTGGATAGTTTTGCAGCTACTTATGGACGAAGAAGACGTTCTGCTTGGCAGTACGTTATGTGTAAGTTTATGATTGTTTCTTAAATGTCAAGTATTTTTTATTTATCAGTTTTTTTTAACCGGAACAGAGCTGAAAGTTGTTTTTTCAAAGGACCTTAATAACGTTCACAAAGTAAAATGAAGCAATATTAAAATTTTGAGGTTGGACCAACGAGTCTCCACCGTTAAAAGTTGTTTCTAAAAGTGTAGGTTCAAATACCTGTGGTAGTAATGTCAAAGCAGGACTCAGTCTAAGTCAATAATCCTCTCTTAATGTGGTCTAGCTGTTTCTGTGCTATTGCCGAAGTCATTCGCTGCTTGTGTCTTTCCTTACTTTCTGATAACTTTTCTTAATTCTTAGGGATTTTATTGAGGTGAGTATAGTCATCTACAGATTTCGTGGATCTCAATTGGGTTGGTAAAATCTTGAATCTCCAGAAGTGACCGGAAAGATCGCTTCCAAATTTATTGCTATTTTCTTCTCGGGAAGGGCAAGACGTTTTTTGAAGTGATATGAAGAAAATTCCCTTAATGTATTCAAATGTTTATCGTAAATAAAGTGGAAACAATGATTTATTTGCGGAGTGAAACGTTGTAAAAGTGTGAATTGTATGGAGTAAATTAAATGGATGCGGAGCGAGTAACTCAGTAGCTCGTAAATTTTCATTTGAAAAGGAGAGAAGAAATATTTTACTATTTTTTTTAATGAATGAAGTAGGGCGCAAATAAATGATTAAAGGAAAGATTTAGTTTTGGTCTTGCAAGCAAATACATACAACTGCACTACGAAAACTGGGAGTCACGGATTACGTTATATGTTAGCTGTGGCTAAATTGGAAGAAAGTTTAGGATATCGGTTCTCTAAGTGAGGTTGATGAAGCAGCCGTATTAGGCGATGATGTTCTGGCTGAAGCAAGTACACGTAAAGATTCCATTGATGAAAAGGAAGAGTTAGATTATGATGAGGATTTTGATGAAGAAACTGGGAGGTCGCCTCGGTCATCGAAATTTGCGTCGGAAAGGGTAAGCTTTAGTTATATTTACTATGGTCTATGTTGTTCACCATTCACTTGCTTGTTTACTTGTGGTGCTGTTACTTTTACTTTCATTTTTAAAATGTCTCTTAGTTGTTTGAAAAGCGCGGTTCTCGTATGAACTCAACCATAATTACCAGGAACCAGGTTGCTTATCTCTTTGAACATAGAAGACTGGTCTTGGTACTTGACCTATTTTTTGCACTATTGTTTTGCTTTATCCTCTCTTCTTGGCGTTAATTTACTGGGATATGTATGACGGATGGGTAATTTTTTTTTTTTTTGAGGGGGAGGGGTGTGCGAAATTCCTGGTCATTTTGGACGGTTAAATTCCATGGTTGTTTATCGTTTTTGCAAACCCACAGCTGCTCTTTTTTTTGGGATTCAAATGGACTTATTATTTTGTAAAAGAATTTTGGTGTTTTTTTGCTGTATTCTAAATGATGCTCCTCTCTTTTCTAATGTGTTCCTTCAGTAATTAGGTGTAGTTGCTTATTCTCGATTGAAAAGAAATCATAATATGAGAAAATTTAGGTAATTGGTTATAAAATAAAGAAAGAAGACTAATTAATATTATTGACATTCATATAGTGGTTTTGATGGAATTGCATCTGAAATAGTTCTTGGAAAGTGTTGATAGGCTTCTTCTTACAGTACTTTTTACGATACTTAATGCTTTACACAGTTATCGTGGTTGAATCGCTATCAACACCGTTATAAAGCTGTTGCGGTCTGAGGGAACATGGTTATACTTTTTCTGGTAAAATTACAGTTTTTTAATGTTCCTGCGTATCTCATTATTGACAGTTATGATACTGTCTTTTGTGTGGAACGCTTTACAGATAATTGATTTGAGTCCAAACGAAAACCGTTACTTTTAAAGCCTGAATTACAGGTTGAAGAGGGAACTGAACGTAAATGAAATTTTATCTTTTATATTACTTTAACGTGTTTTATGACAAGTTGAACTGGAAGTAGTAGATTAGTCAAAGCATGTGGTAGCATTAGTCTAAGGCATAGCTATAAAGTTTGAGTCAAACATACATCAGTTTTCAGCCTGCGGCTGCTGGTCAGTCGTGGGGAATAGACGGTGCCTAATGAACTGATTGGCAAGAGTACAAAAGTTCCAACATAGGCATTCGCTAGCTTGTGCTTTCACTTACTTGTTTAGCTTAGGAATCAGTTTTAGACTTCGAGGCTGGAAAAGTAGTAAAGTTAATCAAGGATAACTTTTTTGTATGGACAAATGTTAAGGGTCATTTTCATAAAAGTACTGCTATTTGGACGGTAGGGACGTAATTTTCTTGTTGTTTCTTCTGAATGTTTGTATGTATCGGATTTGAAGTTATGGTTCTGATTTTGACGGAAGATTCTCAGCATTTCATTTTACAGTCACAGAATTTTGTAGGAAAGTGAGACATAAAGATTTGAATTTGAATTCGGTATATTTTTGGCCTTTCTCTGATAGTAAGGAATTATAGGTGAAATTGAGCCCAACTGCTTTTTCGGGTTGAGAAGTTCATTTTTGAATCTTTAAGCTGATGCATAAATTTTTTTACGTGACTTATAAAAATTCTGTAGCAGTTCTAAATAACATATCTAAATTTATGAAATTTATTAATAAAGACTGGTAGCTAGGCATAAGTCTCTCTTTCAGCCATTGTTTCTTGTACGGCTGGTATATGAAATTAATTTTCACCAACATTTAGAAGCATTTGTCTTTTATAATTGATCATTAGTTTCCAGGGACTGAAAAATAAATTTTTATGTTAGCAGTTAGAAGAAATCGTTTTTTGCTTAGAAATATCGGTAGAAATAAAATTTTGCGAAGGAAACTTAAATAGGCAATTATCCACAAAAAAACTGGTTGTAGTTGTCGTGGATATACCAGTGAATTTACGGGTCTGGAAAAGCATTAATTAGGTTCATCTATTCTTCTCAAGATTTGATTTTAATGAACGAACTGAGAAACTGAAAGTATATGAGATAAGCACATCTTTTTGAAAGAAGTTGGTTTACAAGTTCATTACCATTTCAAATTTCGGGAGGGAAAAATTGATTTTTTTCTTTTTTTTTTCATCAAATATTTTTTGATATGTGAAAAATCAAAGGGGGTTTTCCAGATTGATCATCGACGTTTGTCTGTTAAGTCAATGGAGGCGTCACCTGAACAAGATCGCTTAGAACGGCGTCGGAAGAGTTCAGGTCCTAACAGCTTGGTAATCATTTGATTATTGCCCTACACTTTTATTTTTTAAAAAAAGTTTTTGGGACCTTATAATTTAAAATTTTATTTTTTAAGGTGTGAAGTCTTCATCAGTTTTTAAATAATGTTTTAAAATCGGGCTTTTCTGAAATACATACTTCTTTTGATATGTTTCTAACATATTTTATTTTCGTAAAGTTTTTTAAGTGATATTCGTTGGCCTTATGCCGAGAACTGACTGGCAAATGTTCAATGAATTTATAAGTTGGGACTCAGTATGCTTTCACATTGATTAGGGAAATGTTAGATACAGTTTGGATGTCTTATTTTTCACCCTTAATTTTTACGGAGAAACAATTGCTGAATAGTTTGTCATTTTTATAGGGTTTCTTTTTTCTCTATTGATTCTAACTGTTATGCTTGTCAAGTCAGGACATTGGGTTCAAACAAAAATCGATTAACTTGAATTGTATGAATTGTATTTGGTGATCTTCTTAGATTGTTCTCCTACCTTTATTGAAAGTTTAGTTTTTTTCGAATACTACTTGTCTACATAGTTGTGAGATAGTTTTGTCGCGCTTCTTTTAAAATCTTCTGGCAAGTCTCTCGATTTTGCTTATAATTTTCGCATGGTTCTCAAATTTTTTTTAACTGCCTTATTTAATTGGCTTCAGGTTGGTCAAGAGTCTGAGGAACCCACCACGGTGGCTTCTCAAATGCCACCGCCGCCGAAGCTTATGCGTTCAGGGCGTAAGGTTCTGATGAATCCCCATTATAGAGGGGCTATAAATGCGCAGCCAGAGTGTAAGTAGACGATTAAGTATAGACGTTCTTTTTCTTTTAAATGAGTTTTTTCATTACATTGGAACCGGAAGCGGTGTCGCACTTTCCTGCTCATTTACTTTTTTGTCCCAATTTGAAAAAAAAATAGTTGGATATGAATTCAGTTTATTAACTGATCGGCATATTTTGCTTTTTCATGTCTTGGCGATGAAAAAAAAATATCATTTTTATCAGTTGTATTAAAGTCGTTCCCAAAGTTTTAACAAAATGATGTTCAGTGCTGAATTGGGGTTCTTTAAAATCAGTTAACGTAGCTGGTCTCGGACTTCAACTGCGTCCTTGTTTACCGGCCGTTGCGCAGGTGACAACTATACAGCCACAGGCTTACATGGTAATTTATTTCGGCACTACCTTTTTCTTTCTAGTTTCATTGGAAATCTGCGCTTACTCTAGAGGTTGTTTTACAATAAGTGCTTTAGGCGGTACCTTCTTCTTCTGCAGACTTCTCTAAACCTCCACCATTAGTTCCAATATCGAATTTTACGACACCTCCGCCGTCATTTAACATGGGTTATGCTGCAGCAACCCCTCCTACAGTTCTCCCTACTGTGGATGATTGGAGCAAAAAGGTTAACGGGTTTCTGGATAAGATTGCTGGACCTACTAGGTCGTCTCGCCGGTATTCTCGCTCACAGTCTCGGTCTTCTTTTTCTTCGTCAAGATCAAGGTTTCTTTTTTTGAGAATGCCTCACTTTTAGTGATAAGTTCAGTTCTTTTAGTAATGTTGCGGCTTAATTATAAATATTTGTCTTTCAGGCCAAGATCTTACTCTTCCCGTTCCTCTAGCTTTTCTGATTCATCACGTTCTTCCCGTTCGTCTCCTAGAAACAGTAGGTCCCGTGGTCGCCGTTCATCATCGCGCCGCAGTGGTAGCAGATATCTAAGGTTATAAAGTCTATTAAATATGCGTTATGTTAAAACTTTTACAATTTATGTTTAGTCGAAGGTTCCTAGCAGCAAGCTTTACGTTAATTTTTTTAAGGTTAACCTGGGTGATTTGCTTTTTTTAGACGCAGAAGTCGCAGTCGTTCGAGATACGGAGATCATGGACGAGGTGTTTTAGAAAAAAGAAGTGGGCGTTTTGAAGAAAGAAAAGGTCAAGAACGCCATAAAAGTTATTATCAGGATCCCAATCACCAGGTTAGTTCTAGGAGGGCCTGAACTATGCCAGGTGCACATTGTTTATAATCTTTTTTCACTTCCCAATATACTTTGAAATCATTTACTTTCTGCTGGCGTAGTGGAGGGTTTTTTTTTTTTT